GACGTGAGATTCTTTTTGCATTCTCTCGATTTTCCGCGAAGAGATAAAACATCGCGAACGGTTACACACCAACGCTCGTAGAAATGTTTTGTTTCCTGTTTCAGTGTTGCTTTTGACGTGATACAGTTATTTTTAATAAAATTTAGAATCTATGTGTTAAAATACTTTAGATACGGTCGGTTTTTAACATTGCAAGAGTCATTCAATATAAAAATATAAAACGAACATTGTCACAGGCATAGAGATTTATAATTGAATCAAATATTTTTAAAAAAGACAACCGCTTGCACTCGTGTTGTTTTCGAGATGACGGAATAATTTGATTTGTCGATATTTGTGTACAAAATATTGAATTCTTTGGGTTCTATTTGTTATTTTCTTGAATTGTCTTTTGGGTTCTATTTGTTATTTTATGAATTTTTTTTACACGAAAATAATGAAGAAAACAATTAAAATAAATGTATCTCGGAAATATAAATTACAAATATAGAATAATAAAGCACAAAATAAAAGAATATGTATCTATGGAAAAAGAATCAGAAAAGATTTTACCGCACTATTATTCGAGTTTATTCTTTCTTCTGTCATCGGAATTTATGCAAATATTACTATAAAACATGTAAAAGTCTTCAGCGCGTTAACAAAAGAAATTCGATAAGAAGCCATAAATATATATTATAATATCATATAAATAAAGTTTCCTATAGAACGTAATGTTATCCTGATTCTTATTGAGAGTCGAGCGCGATATTGCTTGAACGACTCTACAAAGAGTGTTCTATAAGTATCGTTCAAGATTATCAAGATTATCGTGTTTTATGAGTACAAGAAGGAGAGAAGAAACTTGGATGAAAATTTCAGAGGAAAAATTTAAGCCGTAGTGCACATTGTTTCGGAGCAACATACATTTATCCATCTTCGAAAAAAGGGAAATTAAAATGTTTATCATATATTTCTTGAATAAGCCCTCGATGATTGATGCTGACGTAGACGAATGTTTATCAGACCATGAAAGATCCAGCGCAAGAGATCTCACTCATCGATCGGAAAAAATGATGTCTATAGATTGGCTAAATATTCTGCTTCATTTGACGTGAATTTGAAGTCGCCCCATTGTGCGCGTGTCGTCTCATCGAAATTTCTAAAGGGACGTCGTCACGATATGAATCTGACCTATAATAAGTTGGTTGAAAAAATGTCAACGTGCCAAAGAAAGGGAATACAAAAAATTGAGTCGCTGATTTTTTTTTCTTCACCATGAGGACACATATCATTTCAATGAATGTCCAAATTTAATACATATTGTATGTTTACAACGATTAATTTATAATTCTTTGTTAGAATGTGTATTAAGTATATTTTATTTGATATTTTTCTCTTCATTTATATATTTGCTTATTCAAAATGTCATATGTTTATAAAATCAGATAGTGCATAAAATTATTCCTACAGGAAATGAAGTTGTATTTGATAATGTATTAAGTTGTTTTCATTGAAACACGAAAGCATCCGGTTACATCAATATCCAATTCAATTGCATATTACAAGTTTATATTTAATTAATATTATTACGATACAAATGTAATTATGTTCCTGTATTTTCTACATTCAATATTTAGTAATAAATTACTTAAGTAAACATATATATGCACTGTAATATGGGTGGTTATAATTAAATTTTATATTGTAGATAATGTGCAAAAATTTTGCAATTAAAATTAATTCGAAATTAATAATTCAACTTTTAGTCCTTAATGCATTTCGTAACTTTCTTACGTATATCGAACAATAGAGTGCATACTTAAGAACTTTATTGTTGTATAATATTGCTACGTTATAAAATAGTTCTTTACAAGAACAATAAATTTTATGAGAATTTTTTTCGTGTACATCAATATCCCTTGCATCAATATTTAAAAGTTAAGCCAAATAAAATTTGAAAGCAACCTCTTTATCATGCACGTTCTTTGCAGCTTTTTCTTTCGCCTTAACATTTTTTGTGAAATTTTGTTGTAAAAGGTTTCGCTTGCTCACTTTAGCATGACGACAAGCAGAGAAAGCGCATAAAATTCGAGTATTTTAAATTTATGCTAAAGCAAGTAGAAAAAGAAGTCAGAACGTTATTTCATTTCTTTCTCGTGCGCTCTTTTGTATCTTATTATTTTCTTCTTTATTTACTATAGAAGCTTAATATTCGCGCATTTTTAATTGCGTTATTTTTGTGCATTTGCAATTGGAATCATTTACAATAATTTTTTTACGAGCATACAATTCTATCGGTAAAATTAATAAAAGAAGTTTCTTTTCGGAAATGGAATCCAATTCTTGAAACACTCGACAACTGAGTGACAGATAAGTTTGCTTCGTCGACAGAGAAAAAAGGCTGAAATAAGGGATTGGCGCGATGCAGAATTTTTTCGTGAGAAACAATGTGATAATTATTAAACACGTAGTATGACAAATTTATCAAAAGTTTAATGACATTACATAACAATAACAAAAATGATTTTTTAATATTTTTTATTATATGAGAAAACCGCAGAATACAGCAGAATGCAAACATTGAAAATGCGAAGAAAAGCTGTTGCAATAAATTTTTATATATTCGCATATAAATCTCGGACTAGTTTGTACGTATCTCAAATAAAGATCAAATGCCATTCGTAAAATTTATAAAAATTTTAAATGTAAAATAGAGAAAAGAATGCCCATGAAGATTGACAGCTATTTGTTTTCCAAAGAATGGTCAATCAATCACAAAGTACTGTTGGTATTTTATTCAAGAATGGATTAGCTCTGAAAGAATTTAAACGGTCAAAGTGATTTTTTAACTCCTATAAATTATGGAATATTCAGAAATTGGCAGAATTTATTAAACTAATTAGAAAAAGCGTTAATAAATTTATGAAAACTATTCATGAGAAAATAATAAGTGTATGAAATTTATCGGAATTAAAGTTGGCGAAAGAGATTAAAAATATAAAGCCGCGATTTTACACATCAAAAGGAAGGGACGAGAATGAGAATGGCACCTGTTGCCATCAAACGATTTCTCATCTTTAAGTGTGTCATCGAGAAACTCCTCCACTCTCGTGAAAACATTTCCAACCCTCTTACCCTTGCGTATACGATATACAGGGTGACAAACTGATATTTACAGTTACATTCAATGCTATTAAAAATTATATTTTTTACAGTAAGGGATAAACTATTTTTTGATGATTATTACACCATTGCTAACGTAATACTATGAGATTATGTATAATAAAAATAAATATCTTCTAATATTAATAAGTACTTTTTTAATATCTATTATAATGGTTATGAAATTTTAATCGACTTTTGCGTTCACTGGCATTTACAAATTAACACTGTAGTCGAACAGGATCGGATTATAAAATCCACTTACCACTTTTTTTAAAGTATTGCATTTTATATTTAAGCCTTATATTTTAATTTTGCACAACTTTACATTGAAAATCCGGAATTAAATGTTACAAACTGCTTGTGAATCTTGCTACTTTTACTTGCTTACTAAACATCGTTCAATCGCTAGATTTAACTCACAAATATGTTTAGCTTATGTTATATAAACAATAAAAAAAAGCTACGAAAATTTTTATGATAAAACAATGCATGTAAATTTTTGTATTTAAATACTTATCGCAATCGAAATGCTTCCTTATAGCTGCAGATTTTTTATTAACTGTTGCAATTTTGATTTATGTTTATCGTACGATTTCATATTCGTCCTCTTGACCCGATCGGGTCTCTTGAAAAGCAATGATCAAGGACGAAGAGGGCTCGGCAATCCGTCGAATTTCGCTATCAAATATTGAACGAATTGTCCCTATGGGATTTCGGGCTTAGTGGTTTATAGTGTCGCGACATCCAATCATGCCAGACCGCTCGCTCTTTCGTCCATTGCCAACTATTAAATATTTGTTGAAACTGTGTTGATCACGTATATTGAAATCGCAGTCATAATGCGCAACAATGACTTTACTTTTAAATTGATGGAAATGTTTGGTTCAAATGATATGCGTGTATAACAGAGAAATTTTTAATAAAATAAAATTGACGCTTGTTTTGTATTTCAGTAAAATCTTTGAATCAACGATTACTTTATCTTATGAATCGCGAGAATGTTATACGTAGGTGGAAAAAGGGAATACCGACAATTTAATTGGCGCGTGGCTCTCTCCTATCGATTGAATCTGATGATTATATTACCTCATAAAATGCGAAAAAAATTGTTATTCACGGAACGAGGGAGGTAAAAATAAAAAATTATCCCATGATTTTATCCAGATTTAACGGGATTCCGATCCGGTGACGGATGAAAATATCTCGCGAGGAAGTAGGATGCTACGACCGAGGGAATCCTTGTCGTAAAATTGACACGACACCTCTACGAACAAAAGCTATTCTTCTACTGCAATGGCATTTATTTCCCGGCTAGTCGTATAAATAACTTCTTGTTTTGTTTTTACATGGAAGAATTCCATTTGCGTACATCTGTGCTCTGAAATGCCCGTAAAATCTTCCGGAAGCGGAATTGCTTTAACTCATTTTCATATTCCGCTAAATCCATTTCGTATAACAGATATAAAATTCCGCAAAGCGTTGTAAGAGCGATTACCATTGAAAATACAATGCGCTCATTGTTATTCTAATTATCATTCTTGTTATGTACATGTAAAATATAGATATCGCATCAATTTCTCGCATATAATTTCGAAAATACGGTTCTTTCGAGAAACTATCGTGTAGATAAATAGTTATTATGCAATCTAAATATATAATTCGATGAAAGTTGAACTAATTTTCCCTCTCAATTTCGACAAAGAGTGTGGATTTCGCGTATGTGATGAATTTGAAAACTCAATCACGGACTATCGCAGAAGTTCGTATGACGTTATTAACAGAATGATATTCTATTCGATCCGAATACTGGTCGATTACAAATTACAAATTTCGCGCGACCTTTGTACTTTCAGATAGATCCGAGGCAGCATCATGAAAACTTCGAGTCTAATCGCTATGAGACTCATTATCTTCTACCTGTTGAGCGTCGTTGGACGATCAACAGCGGCGGTAGAGGAGGCACCGGCCTCGTCCTTGCATATTCCACGATTGAATCCGTTATCGAGCAACTTGGAGTACGATGAGCCCTCTGAAAAAAGGGCGTACGCTTACATTTCCGAATACAAGAGGCTACCTCTTTACAACTTCGGCATCGGAAAGCGATGGATCGACAATAGCGAGGATAAAGTGAGTTCCGGATGAAAATAAAATGTTCAATTTCTCGGCGCGAATAATTGCTTCGTTATAAGATTGGAAGATCTGGAATTAGAGAGAAATTAAATATCAGATCAAATATATTTTCAAGAAATATCTTTGCTAAATTTCTTTTTTATTTAAATTGATAAATAATACGGTTCTATTTAACAACATGATAATTAAGAAACGAGTAATAAGAGCCTAAAAAAACGCGGATGGCAATGCGTAAATTTTTTCGAACATTAATTGTTCGCGAAAAAATTTTTAAGACATATACATATATGCCAATATAGTTATAGATTCTTTTTTATTCTTTTTTATTGCTTTATTAAGTTATTTAAAATTTCCCAATGTCGAATAGTGCATAAGAATAAAATGTGTGATGCGACGAATAGAAATGAAATTAATTTGTCATAATCATACTTGTCGCCCTCATATTTTTCTTTGCATTGAAACTTTATTTGCAGCGAACGCGGCCGTTCTCGTTCGGTATCGGAAAACGTCTTAGGGACTACAGGTTCGGCATAGGAAAGCGTAATAGCGGATACCGTCCCTTGGGTATGGATTTCTCGGTCGACAACATGGACTTTCATTCTCGCGAGGATAACCTGGACGACTTTATAGACGACAAGCGCGGCGGTCAGCCTTTCAGTTTCGGCATCGGAAAACGAGGCTGGAAGCTGCCAATGGGCGAAATGGCCGTATCCGGAAGGAGACTAAACGACGTTGTCGGCCCGAAATATCTGCTCGGTTTGGGCAAAGGACTAAGCGAGAACGAAAATCTGATTCAATAAGGCGTTCTCGTCGAGAAGCACGGATTGTTCTCTTTCGCGTTCATTTTAATCCCTGGACGATTGTAGAACAAGACATACGCGATTCGTTTCTTTCCAAAAATATTGGCGAAACGCGAATATTGGTGGAAGGCAGTTAAAAAAGTTACATGATTCATTGATTTCGTTGCACGTTGCCGTTGGATCCTAATAATAATACAAGTTTGTTATAAGCGTATCAATATTTTGTACAAATTAATAGTTAAATAATACATTTACTGATAAATGATAAATTTAGAAAAAAATCTTTCTATTTTTTTCTGATAAATGATAAATTTAAATTTATCTAGAAGTTAAAAACTTATTTAAAAATAGTAAAATGCAATTTTGTTTCGATAAGTATCTATTCCTTTGACTTGTGACTACTGAAAACAAAATCGATCGTCCGTGGAAGTTAAAAGCTAATGAGGTCTCGAAATCTCTTTTTCAAAATTTGCTGCAAAATTCGTGCGTCATCGACAGTTTACGATCTACTTGTAAATGTTTAAAAAAAAACGATGGAAGTACTTTAACTGAGATAACGTAGAGAAAATTTTGAATTTTTTAGACAAAGTTGTCTAAAATTTATTAATCCCTTTTTCTCCAAATTTCTATATAATTAATAATCAAACTATTTGTCATGTGTTTGTAAAATGAAGGAAATTGAAAAGAAGAAAAAAAAAACCATTTCTTTTAATGTATAATCTAAAAACCTATTTATAAAGTATTTTTTATGTCTCTTTTAAAATAAAATTATATTATATAGTGTAATCTTTTTTTCATTAGGATTTTTTAATATCTCGCAATTATAAAATAGTGATAATATTGATAATAAGATAGTTAAGTTAATTGCGTTTTCTATTGCAATGAGTTACGTTGCTATTTAGCACATAATTACAATGACAATTTACTGTATGATAGATAGGAGCAATATCTCATTATATATTAAAGCCGTATTTATCTATAAAAATGTCAATATACTTCTTATATTATTCAACTTGTTCTTATATTATTATATTTTTAATTGTTATCGAAAGAAAATTTATTCTATAATATATATATATATATATACATATTGTATCTATATCTCCAATATCATAATAAATCTTTTAATGTTCTTTTCGTCATATGTGTAACATATATATATATATGTGTATATGTATGTACCTTCAGCTCTATTTTTAGTTAAATATTAAATGAAAATTTAACGGTAATAAATGTTGACCTAATGTTTTCATGTGCGCAACATTGCGATGTTTATATATATATATTTTGTTAAGTATATCATTATAATAAATGAAAATGAATGCAAATATATATTGGCACGTTTAATGTAAATAGCGAGAATTTAGCTTTGCGTCAGCTTTGAGTTTGAAATAAATAATTGTTAATAAAAATCGGAGAGAGTTCAAATTCAAAGAGATTTATCTTCACAATTCATGTTGATACAATTTGAACGTGTTTGATTGCAGCTCTTTAAATGATATTTATGAATTAATAATTTTTCAATCTCGATGAGGGAAAGAGAGATATAACATAAATTAATCATATGTATGCTGCAGACCTGAATAGATAATCGATTCGTTGATTTATACGAGAACGCAGTAAATAGCGGTATGATAAATATTTCAATTTCAACCAGCCATAAGACTCATGATAACTTAATTAATCGCGATAGCAATACACGCTGTATTGCGATAAATCAGACACGCCTCCGTTTGACTTTGATTATCCGACGTAGTTCAGTCGTCAAAGTTCCCAAGCTGCGCTCAGTTTCTCTCGCATTATTTTCGGAATTTAAAGGATTATCGATTAATAAAATATGCGTATAAAATCTCTTTACCTTTCCATATATTTCTGCGCGATTAACTGAGAATTAATCGGGGTGTAAATATATCCGTTGCACGTATTGACGTATTGACTATTCAATCAAGTTAGAGGTTATTATAAAATCGTAATAATAATGTTTAATTTTTCCGTGCCATATCGTAAAATTATACTGTGCATTATTCTATTATCGAAATATTCCGCTGCTTTTGAAAAGCACTGGCTTCCGGATTTGGAATGGCAGACCGCAAACAACTGGGTGGATGGTCGCATTCCAGAAATTGACAATCGAGTAATTTTCCCTCAACAGACCCGACATGCTGTGGGTGTCGCCGCAACTGACAATTTAAGGCTATCCGGAATCGATTTGCCTAGACAAGGATTATTAGTCCTATCTAGAAACGGTAAACTGCAGGTGAGGATAATTTATATAAATTTACTGAAAAGAGAGAAGATAGACGAATGGTTACATCAGAATTGAAAAAAAATTGAATAAAAATAATAAAAAAAATGAAGAACGAGATGATACGTCCGATCGTCCTTTTTCCCTATTTAATGCATTTGCAGATGGAAGATTTCATTTACGGAATATCGTAGTAGCCGCTTTTCGCTGACACATTTACGATAATTGCGATATTAATGTTTTAATGTTGGCGCATCATTTGCTCGTTGGTTAATTGGAAAATCATTTATTAGTATATTTATTGTACGAAATGAAGATCGAAGTAAAATGTAAAATATTAAAATATAATGATAAAGTATTAAAATTGGCGCGATTCTCATGCAATTATAAATCTTATTTAATATTTATAATATTACAATGTATTTTTTATATTTATATAAAATAATACGCGTTCCTGGGTATATTGCACAAGCTGAGCGATTCGAGGACGGACGCAAAGATCAGTAAATGGTCGAAGGAGGGTAATTTCTTCTGGGCAGATCCCGCAAATTGGAACGGTAGTTCGATAGCGGTGCCGCATCTCGAGCGCGTTCCCTGTCGCCAGGACGACGTCGTTCTACCGAGCGTGAATCGTACTCTAAGTGTCCTTTTACCTGTGAGAGAAGTACAAGTGAAATCGATTCGGCTATCAAACGAGAGACAGCCCTTTCTCGAGGAGGAATGGATAGATTTCCAAGATCGTAGAGAATTCTCTAGAAGTAGATTTAGCGTCAAGTGAGTCTCGTTGACTCTCTTTTCTTAATTTCTGCTTACTCGAGTGACAAGTGTATTTCACGCAATACTATATCTTTCCAGATATGCCGAGCTGTATCTGACTATGCACGATTGCTCGAAATGTTTCTGTCAGGGAAACTATATGAGCGACTATCTCGAAGAGATCTGCGCCATCCAGAGACCAAGATGCGGATTCACGGGCTGCGAATATCCTCTTACAGTCAGAGATATTTTAATTAAAAAAAAGATGCGGAAATTGATTAATTTTATCATACATTTTCTGATCTGAAGCACTAATGTTTCAGGTGGAAGGTCACTGTTGTCCTTATTGCGGTGGACGCGTTTCCACGTCGAAGCAGATTCCTCTAGTGACGGTACAAACCGCGGCGGACGAAGCTTTAGAAGGATATACGGACAAGATTGCTTGGCATACCAGACGCAGTTGGAATGGAGGCGTTGAGATCCTTGTAAAGGAGAAAGGAGATTATTCCGGGATCACGATACAGGAAGCAGTGGATAATCTGAGGGTGATGTTGCAAAGTCAGTATGCTCTTCTTCCGTGATTTAATTTATTAGATAAGTTTTTAGCAAAGCTCGAGACGCGACTAATTTGCTTATATTTCAAATGAGAATAACGATTAAAGCGTTTATTATTCGATAATTTAGACATTTTTGTCGCGGAGGTATATGTAACATGTTTCAATTTGTAACCGCGTACGAAACAAAAAAAATATATATGTATAGAACTGTGAATAATAAATTTCTATTCTCATTGTTTTAATACCGATATTGAAGTTACTATTGAATGACACCTACGGCGGCGACGATTTTTAATTTAATTTCATAATTGGAGCACGTAAACAAACACGATCGAGCAATATCCCGCTTTTTTATTCATATTAATTAAAATGTAATTTATTTTTGATAAAAATCAATTATATTACTCTTGTTGTATGCAATTTCAATAAACCAAAATATTTATTTTAATTCAATTTCAAGAGCAGTTAAAAAAACATTTGAAAAATTATTGTAAATAAATGTTTCACTTCTCAATTTTTTATTTATAACGTTATTTAATTGTTATATTAGATTTTATTAAAATTACTCTGACTCTTAACGATAAAGAAAGTGCGATACAATTATCGAAAAGATAATTAAGTATATTTTAATCAAACAATAAGGACAATAAATAGTAATAATTCTTTTAATTCTTTTAATAAATAATTCCTTTTTTCCAGAATCATTTAATTTTCCTTATACATTTTTTTATTAGAGACGGGAATCGATGTGACGAACGCGGAGACAGCCGGAGCAGCTATGAAAGATTCTAGATTGGCTGTTATACTCGGACCCCTTCTCGGGACGCCTCTCGTCGCTATCGCCCTTTTTCTATTGCTCTTTCTGTACTTTGGTTATTCCCTGGAACAGTAAGTGTGCAATCTTCGTGTAATCTTTATTTTCGCTTTACTTGTCTTCGTCTGTACGAACGTCATCGCGGACGTATTCAATAGAATTAAAAAGCTGTCGGTCTCGCTTTATAAATTCAATATGTTTCACGCGTTATGAATGCCACCTGTCGCAACACGCCTGGCCTCGAGCGCTCGAGAAATCGTGTCAGCATTTGGCGTTTCGCATTGTATCCGAGATTTGCATACTCGGTCGAATGAAACGCTACACGACCCGAGCTCAGCATTCAGTCTGTTCAATACGCGAGCAAAGCATGTCAACCGCAAACTTTGGCGAAATTAAAGCCTCGTGAGAAGTGGAAATGGAACCTTCTCTTATTTTCTTTGTCGAATAAAGTATTTTCGCGTGATGGGAAAGGAGAGTCGAGGAACGTGTCGAGTTCTACCTCATTTATATACCGGTTACGTCAATGTTGTCATTAAAATCAGCAGAATTGAAAAAGAAAACTTGTTCCAGACTCATTTCGCAATCACCTGCTGCGTACGCGTGCGTAGCCTACTTTCATGCAAATATCACTCATCATCACTCGGGAGTAATAATAATCGCACCGAGGGAAACGTGACGTGGAAGATGAAGAGGGAAAATAAAGTTTCGCGAATATAGAGTATGCGGGCACGCAGCTGTAGAAAACTCCGGATGAGTTTCGATTCTCAACCGGCTCTCTTCTCTTTTTCTCGGATCAATCGGATCATTTATTGACGATTTTGCATGTCCGAGAGAGTAGAAAAAGCAATTACGTGGACATTACCAGTTTGACACATGTGTTTGTGTCCTCGCTCTATACCTGCTCTCATTTCCGGTTATAACGAAGCGTTTAAAGAGCACGATATTGGCTTCCTTCGAGGATACTCGAGAGTTGAACGCCCTCAAGAAAAAAGGAAAAGAAGCTTTTTCTCGCGATATATCGTGTGACCTTTTATGTAGCTTAAACGAACGTAAATCTTAAAGGATGCGAAGGTAACTGTTTAGATTAATGGCTTTCAAATTGGGCGAGAATAAAACGTTTGCTCGCGATGCAGATAACAGGAGCGGTAAGAGCGTGTCGCAAGAGGCAAAATAAGGGGTAAAACGAGAAGACGACAGCCAAGACAACGAGATTGCCTGCAAAACTCCATCAAAGTCGCAAATTCGCAGCTGACAAAATTCCGCCCCCGAGAGTCACGGCTATTAAATTCGCGGGGAAATGGAAAATGTCGAACTCCCCGGGAGTCTCATTTCCCAGACATTCATCCGATACGACGAGAGTGAGAATAAAATAGAGAGAAAGAACGAGAAAGATGTAGCAATGAGAGAAAGAGAGAAAGAGAGAGGACCGGCTGCAAAACGTACGAGCGTAAGAGCATTTTAATTCGTGAAGTAGCGATATAGGAGTAACGACAGGATTTAGCAATCGGAGAACTCATTCCCGTGTTCGTCTATTTACGGGTTTAATGTATTCCGACGCTAATTCCTTCACCCGCGCGTTCCTACAACTCGCCTCGAATCACAAAAAGCCGTTTTCTCTCGCTCGTCTACCATTTAATTAGCTCAACTCCCACGGGCCGACCGGTCGGTTTATTATCGCTCTTGGTAGGCTCGAATTGAATTGAATTGGTCGCCGTATAATTTTCCCTTTGGCTCGCAACCTTTGGCAAACAACCCGTTGCCGAAGCCAAAGTCTTTGGGATATCAAGCTCTTACATATTATATATTTCTTACATCTGCGTAAGACGTATGTGTCTTTGACATAAGATGAAATACTGAAGACGTGATATAAATGAATTCTAATAAATTTCAAATAATACAAGCGTTTTTTATTATCTAAATTTTTTTGTCTAGATCCTCCTTAAGGCTTACTAAACTAGTTTTATGTTATTTATCTCGGACGAGACAAGGATTCGTGCGGCGCATTCCGTATCTATTGATCTCCCTGACGAAATGTAATTTTTGCAGCGTCCTCTCGGGATGTATGGAAGCCGTCTCATCCGTTCGTGATGGAATTCGGGTGGACAAGCAGAAGCACGGATTCGCCCGCTTCGAAAACGTTCCCGAAGGCAACGTTCGGATAGCCAACGTTCCTGGGACGAGCGGACGAGAGGCTGACAATGACAACGTTGTCAAGGGGATAACGCAAATCGCGGGTGGCAGATTCGAAAATCCCCTGTACAGATCTAACAAGAGGGATAAGACGGAAATACGCAAGATTCTTGATGCGCCTCTCAGCCTCGCCACCCTTAAAAGTCAAATAGACGATCAGCTGGAAACTAAGGAGATGGATACCGAGGAATAAGAATGTCATTTTTATTCAATTACGTTATGTTACGCTAATTAAGTTTTACGATCTTAATTGTGGAATTAGGTGAAATTATTGAATGATAATATACATTACTTTGGACACTTTAGACTGGCTTAAGAAAGATGTATCACACGCGTCTTTTATCTTCTTTTTGAATAAAATCAAGATAAATCTTGAGGATTTATGAAGCAAAGGCTTTTGAAAAATTTTTCCAGGTGAAGAATGAATAATACATTGAAATCAATACTGTGTGTATGCATGTTTGTCTCGAATCTAGAAAATTTCGTTAAATGACAGATCTCTTACATCTAATAAGATATTAAATAGAAAGAAGGAAACGAGAATTTTTTTTTTCAAGAGAGAAAAGACAAAGCGAACAGGAGATGTTGGCTCACAAGTATTTATTTCTTATTGTCAGACGACATTCATTCGAAATTGCAGCATCGCGTGTTACATCATTCACGTGGTTACCGCGCTTTGTCGCGTAGACAAATTATACGCACACATAAATTCGACGATGATCGAATAAAATATATATACATATATATATATATATATATATATATATAATATATATATATATATATTTTTTTTTTTCGTTAATATATATAGGGATTCTCTGGATAAATATTGACGCCTAGTTACACGATATATAGACGCATGACAGTTGTATCGCGTATAAGAAATAAATGGTAAATTGTGATAACGATAAATGTATCGTAACAACAGACAACGATGTGATTTCCTTCATCATTTCGAACATATATTTCTATGTAATTCATCATAAAATATATCATCTATATATATATATATACAATGTATATAATATGTATATGTATATAATTATCTATATAAAGTTCCACTCGTAGAATATATTAACTCTCTGTTTTTTCGATAAAAATTGTTATTCTGCTGCTTTGTACAGATATATGATCTCTCTTTTATCGTAGATGCGTGTGTGTCGAATTAAAACCGAATATATATATGTACGCAGACGAAAAAATAGAAGTCTCTAATCCCTCATCGGTGTTTATAAAGTTAGCAAGATATATCAAAAGTGCCTTTCCAAGTGACATGTTATGTTAACGTCTAATAGATTACTATATCACTTGTTACGTTTATTGACTTTTTCATTGACTTTCTTTCGGCAAGTATATATCTTTAGCAGATCTCTACGCATTTTTCTAAAATACCTGGCATCGATTTGAAATTATATTTAATTTCTTCGCAAAAATTATGACGTATCTTATATGGATGTGCGTGTACAGTATGGTTTATAAAAGACAAGAATTAAGATACAAAAATAAAGATGCAGAACTTTGATTTAAGAATTTTGATGAATTTTGATGAATTTTATTTTTCTAAAGATGTTCAACTGAATAAGATAGACTTTTAATTATTCAAAGTAACATATATAAGTCTAAAGAATGTAAATAGGTGATTTTGTATGGTCATCCTGTATACGTACGCATTCCATAGTAAATTATTATATAGAAGAATCATGATCGAAACATTAAGTGATATAATATTATAACGATAATCGCTATTTATTCTGCCACTCATGCGAGGTATGTATAATCCTTTAATACAAATAACCATCTCTTGGTCACGCAATACGACATTACATCCTAATATTTATTTGGCAATTACGTGAAGAAAGGGAAAGAGAAAAAAGGGGAAAAAAGTTCTTTTTGTCTTGTGCGCATTGGTCCCTTTCCACGACTTTTATGCGGTAAGTAATCGCGAGATTCGCCTTCATATGACATCTTGCGCAATCTGCCATAATCTTGAAAAAAAATCACAAGAAGAAAGCGATTAAGAATATCGATGATGACATGAACCGGACGGGTTCTCCACGCACGACGACATTCGATTAGCTTCGGCTTTAAATCACAAATATATAAATACGGTCACGAAATCAGAATTCTACAATTCCCTCTCGACCGTCCCCGCCTATATAAATGACGATAAAAATCCAGCCGCCGCATAATCTACTTGTATCGACTTGCAAATGCAACGTGGATTTTACATAGTTTATCGTGTGGACGAGTATAATATATACAGGGTCTTCAAAAAGTCCCGGAACGCTAAAATATCTCGAAAATGATCAACTATAATTAAGTATTTTTTCATTGAGTACTTTTCGAGTTATGAGGCTTGAAATAATTTCTTAATTTTATATAAACCATAAAATATCTAGTAAAATATTCATTTTTCAATTATTTTACTTTAATACTTTTATGTACAAAATAATGAGAGGAATCAATTGATGTAAAGAAAATACATAATTATTTTTTAAGAAAAAATATGTAATTGTTAATTGCAAATTACATATTTTTTCTTCGAAACAACTATGTGTTTTCTTTACTCCAATTGATTTCTCTCATTATTTTGTACATAAAAGTATTAAGATAAAATAATCGAAATATAATATATATTTTACTAGATATTTTATGGTTTATGTAAAATTAAAAAATTATTTCAAGCCTCATAACTCGAAAAGTACTCAATGAAAAAATACTTAATTATAGTGTTTTGGAAAGCTCTTGAAATAAGCTGAAATAAGGATATGCAATAAAAATGCATAAAAAATGGGAAGTTCCATTTAAAAAAATCAACTTGATCTTCATAGACCTTGAGTATTTCATCCAAGGTCAAATTCTTATCATCATTAGGTACATTTTATTTAGTCCTACACCTTTGTTCTTTACATATTTTTCATTATAATTGATCGTTTTCGAGATATTTTCGTGTTCCAGGACTTTTTGAAGACCCTGTATATCCGTGAACTTATATCTTACAAATATTTTTATTACACACTTCAAATTGGCGGGAAATAAATTATCGTTGCGTATGATTAATTTTAAGAGCCGATCAAACCGACGTCTATCGACGTTTATTAAGAATAATATCTTAAGAAAATAGCGACATCGTCGATTTGACGCAGAATTGATTTCACCAAATCACAATCCGCATGATATATAATCTTATTGTACAACTAGATATATCTTTTCTAAGTAAATGATAAATGCAATAATTTTATCGATATAGTATCGAATTTATCTTCACGTCACAGTATTAATATAATCGTATTTTGCTCTTTTTATAGCTATAAAGTATGTCGTATATTATATATCTTGTATACGCACATATAATTACATTAACGCAAAAAAAAAAAAAAAAACGCTTTGACGAAACCGTGTCAAAATGGACTAAATATATATTCTCTTTTTATTTTGAATTCCAGGAATATTCCTTCGAGTCTCAAACGGTTTAAAATATCATCGTCTTCAAAGTATATATAGCGAATAATCAGACGGTCATTTACATTTAGAAGTTTTTTCTTTCGAAACTTCTCGTTGCAGTTAGGCAATAATCGGTGACTTTCATAATCCGCATTTCACGGTTGAAATATCTGAATACTAAATTCGCATATTCTTTAGGCCTTATTAAAATGAAGAAGAACTCGTATTAAATGTACGATAGCGAGAAATAAATTAGCCGTCTAAATGACCTCTGATTTGCAATGCGATTGGAAGAAAAATGAGAAAATAACGTCCGTAAAGGCACTCCTGGCGAAAATATAATCTAGCAAAAGATATAATAATGTATATATATATATAACCGTTATAAGAATATACATATAAATTGGTGTTAAAAGCCTTAAATTGTTGCCAGGAAACACTGAAGCGATTCGCAGTGCTCGAAATAAATCTTCAGTCGCGATTACGCTGCAAAAAACTTCATTGTGTATATAAGGAAGACATTTTAGGAATGTAAAGAAATTGCACTAATCCCTAAAAATATACTCTGTTTAAATCTGTGACTTAGCAATAGCAACAAATCGTTCTCAACAATGTCTCTCGAATCCTCTTTACTGAATAAGAAAGAACAATTGTAAGAATAATAGTCTGTATGGAAGAGCAAATCGGCAAAACCGAATAAATCCGTGTTAGCGTCGCGATGAAAGATTTGAAAAAATGTAAAATCTATTTCGAGGCTTTATATAATTTTCGATCTCTCGGAACACTATCGAAAAGCACACATTCGTGAATGTTTTACGACATTCGTAGGAGCTAAAATCAACTTCCGAAAAATCCTGAAATCATCAGAAAGAAAATCCGATGATATCAAGCATAGACTTGAGTTAAAAGACAAATAAATCTAAGATTGTTGTAGTTGCAGCAGCGCCTGAAGACGTTGCAATTCTTTCAGTAATTCACGGTTTGTGTCCTCCAAGGAATTCAGCCTTTCCCTGTAGGAGGAATTCTCGTTTGTCAACATCGTGACCCGCCTCTCCAAACCGTCCATATACTCTTTCTTTTTCCTACGCGATTCCTGCGCAGATATCTGCAAAACGTACCACATAAATCAATATCTTTCACGCTACATTCGCAATTTTAATTTAAAATTTCAATATTTGATTTCAAATATACAGAATAATTTCAAATATTAAAATGATATTTCCTTTACATACTTTATTCTTGATTTTCCTTCGTACTTTCTTCAATGATTTCTCCTCCTGTTTCGTCAGAGGAAGCTTCGTGGGTACTGGATATCCCTCGGCTATCAAGGTTCTCTTTTCTTCTTCCGTCAATGTCAACACACCCGTCGAGCCTTTCTGTAACCCCAATCGCACTTAAGTGTTCACATCACATGTATATTGGATCAATAAATTTGACAGTAAAAAATGGATTGTTATTTCGCGAGTAGAGTGAGCGACAGTAGACATAAAATATGTAAAACTCATCCATAAAAGCATCGAGTTTGTTTATCAAGATCCGGTAACTTTGTTTACAAGACGCGATCATATACGTTAAAATATTACATGTATTACATAAACAGGCAGCTCTTGGTTTTTAGGTCAGAGAATAATTTTTAGAAATATTACAGACATACATAAAAGTAAATCCATAATTTTTTACATACATAATACAGAATATTTGACAAGTAACAACATTCTTCTCGTCACAAAGTCACTTAATAAAATTATTTGACAGATGACACTGATGAATATAAATAAGAATATAAGAAATTAATTTTTTTTTTACTATGAATCCTTAATTTCTCTCGAGCATAAATTATTTATTGCTTCCAAAAAATATTTCCATATTATCAATAATAAAAATATAAAGATATATAGAGTGTGGAATTTTTTTCTTCGAGATATCCAAGAGATTTTTTTTCTCTTTAATAGTTTATGACTTAATTATAATTGTGCTAAATTCATCCAGCTTAATGGATTTAGCAATCCACTCAAAGTCACCGATGTCAAGTTCCTTTAGAAGATGATGTCTTACCGGCTGACAGGAAATCAGGGGCGTATGAATGGGCTGTCTGGTGGTGTGGGTGCCATTGGTGACGTAAAGCCTCGGCGCCAGTAAGCCCCTGAGATTCTGCGTAGATGTCTGGGAATCTCGGCGTTCTGGCGAGCAGGAAGCGGAAGCGGTACCCTCGCTATCGGAGCTTGCGCTGCTGGGCGGTGTCGGCGGCAACCCTTGTCTCGACGCACGTAAGGTCGTCTCTTTCCCTTCACAGATTACGCCGTATTCCTCAATTTCCATGTTCTGGAAATAATTGAGGATAACGATGATGAATTCATCGTAACGATCGTTTAAATAATAATGCACAGTTTGATTAAATTGAAGAGAAGTATTATTCTTTATTCACACCTTCTTTATTTTTTATAATTTACTAAGAAATTATATTAATACACTCGTTTGGATAAATTGGCAGCGCAAATGTTGAAGAGATAACGAATGGATAAAATTGATTTAAGGATGTTTTTTTGTACCCATTTTTAGAATATTGAGAATTTAATGAAAATTGTACGGAATGTCCTTACATATGTTTAGAATCTATAGTATAATTTTTAAATCGATTCACTAAAGCGTTTATAAGTTATAAGGATTTTAATTTGCACCGAATTAACATGTGTTCTTATGGGAAACGTATAATCACATTGATTCAAATGACAAAAACACATGGAAATAATATTCAGAATTTGTTGAAAATTTGCAAAAGTGTAGTTTAGATACAGAGGAAATATTTGGACAAATAATATTATACAAGTACTAATTGGTTAAAAAGATATTAAATATAATTCAATTAAGTTAGCCATGTATCTGTCACAAGGCGAAATTCTCTACTAAAAGTTAATCATTTCGATTAACAAAATTCGGAATATTTCAGTAAAAACGCAGTAAATATGAAAAAATACATCTCTGCACTGCTAAGAACAAATTGTAATATTCCACACAATTTCTTACTCAAAATACACCAAAAGTGAATATATTCGTCAATATTGATTTTCAGTTACTTTTTACTGGGATTGTACATACAAAACGTCCTTAACATTTTAGAGTACTTTATCTCTTGAACCACAGTTTGATTAAATTGAAAAAAAAAGTATTATTCTTCATTCACACCTCCTTTATTTTTTGTAATTTATTAAAAAATTATATTAACAACCTCGTTTGGATAAATTTGAATAATTACAACGCAGAGCAAATGTTGAAAAGATAACAAATGGAAAGAATTGATTTAACGGTGATTTTAGAGTACTTTATCTCTTGAATACGTGACGCAAGATATTGATTTAATCAGAAATATACCTGATAATACTCTTCGTCATCCTCCTCGCTGTCACTTATGTGTGGGAGCTGACTTTTGGCAAAGTGGAGACTCTGCGGTGACACTATTGTTATCGTGCTCTTATCGTCGACCATGTCGCAGCCCGGTTGACAAGGCGCGCAGGGACTGGCCGGCGCGCTAATAGGTTCGCCCTTGATTTCCGGACACTCGTTATCTTCAGGTACTAAATTGTTTCTTTTGAGGATTACGGTCGAGGTAGAGGACGACGGCGACGACGACGATTCGACACGGCTCGAGGCGCTTATCGAAATAGCCGGAAAGCATTCTTCTTCCATATCTGAAATAACATCTATTGAGTATTTTTTCTCATAATCTCCAGAAAGCATTCTTAAGGAAAGAGGGATAATGCGAGGGATTCGAGAAAAAATACGGCAAAATGATAAATATTGCATTTCGAATGTAACGTCGTTTAAAGATGGAGAAAAAAATGGCACTAATCATCTTACCATCAATTCTGCGAATATCGAGAGACTTTTGGTCCAGATTGGCGAAATCGATGGAGGAACTAGTACACGATGTGCTCGAACCAACCGCACCGGAACCCGAATTGGGTGTATGAGGATTAACTCCTGGCGTTGCTGGGCTCGGGGGGGGACTGTGAATCAGAAGGCTGTAACTGTGTTCGGATTTTATCGGTCGTGGTCCGCCGAGAGCCGCATCTGTCATTAATCGGTCCCTCAGGACCACGCTATCCCTAAGGCTATTACCCCATTCCTCTTCTTTGGTACTCATTAAGACATCCTGGCTGAGTATGAACGGCTGCAATACAAACAAGAATTTAATAGAATTTTGGGGAAAGAAGAGAAGGAGAATAGATTTATAAGAAAAATAATTATGAAGAAAGATGATTTTATGATGACATTAAACAACAAAAATGATCATTTATAAATTTTTATTATTCTACTATTGTTCGCGGGTGAAAGCGGTTTTGTCGCGAGATGGGAATTAGCGAATTACAGATGAGGACACGACCATTTTCTAAGAGCTAAATGAACTTTACTCGACACATATTTTTTTTTTTGGTTTCTGTTTTATTTTTACACATCACACAATTAAATAAAGAAATGTATATATATATATATGTGTGTGTGTGTATAAAAATTTCAAGAACTGAAATTTCGAAGTGATGAGTCCGAAGACTGTACAAGGGGCGTAACTAAGCGGATTAAGCAAGCGGTTTTTTCTGAGAGCGGTATTTCTGCAAATTGCTAATTGCGAACTGCGAAACTCCGAAAAGTGCGAGACTTTGAGGTGCCCATGTGCGATGCCCATTATATAGCGAGCAGAATTTTAGGCCCTTTGCGACGTGGACCAATAAATTTCATAATTTAGCGGTGACCTCGTACAAGGGCGCCGCGTACAATTGGTCGTCGATGAGATCTGACGTAGACATTTTTGCGGTTGCCATGCGCGTGATCTTTTTCGATTAGCTGATTGGCAATCAACTGATCGCGACGTATGGGCGCGCATGCCCGTGCGTTTCGTTGATTTTGTTGACATCAGCGTTTATGACAAGGGTTTCTTAAACGATGAAAAAAAGAGAAATAACGGGAAACGATCGAGGTTTTTCTGAAGGATCGAAAAGATTCTTGACGCCCGTTAAATTTGAATTCTCGAATTATAAATAGCTTATGCGAATTGTTGAACCGGGATAATTGTTATGATTTTCGAACAACTATTCTGCACATTTGAATATTTTTTTAGAGAATAAATAATCGCAACGTGTTTCTAAAAAAAAAATAAATCGTCAAACACACCTTGGAAACATGTTTTATTCGTTTAAACGATGAAAATAGACGTATAGTCATGATTCATAAAATCGAGCGAAATAGATTCTAAATCTATGACATCAGTATACCACACTTTGTATTTCGAGTCTGTATTATTTCGTTGAAAATCGCTTTTTGAGAAATTTGTCGTCACACGTGATAGACATCGACGTGATGCGCGCAAAGAAAAAAAATTCTAGAGCAAGAAAATGGATTGATCCTGCGCGCAGGAAAATTTCACCGCGAACGTACGCGACTCAATGAACACGGTTGGGGGAGGGAGGAGGGCGGGAAGAGAGGGAAATGTCCGCAATTGTCAATGGCCGCATCGCTCGTCGTCTCGTGTCAAGGACCCCGCTTCTAAAATTATATAGGAATAGTGTTCCGCGTGCGATCGCGTATACGCAAGCGAGAAGGGGAAGGGCGGTTCGAGTTGAGCGGTCAAGTTGAAGGTCGGCCATTTTACTCGAGATAGTCCAAAGGTAGCCGTCGGTAGCAACGGCTGGCTACCTGCGTCCTTCCGCCGGGGATCCTCCTCGCGATGCGATCTAGCAATGCGGAACCCATGTTGTATCCCCAAGGTCGAGACGGGAGGAAGGAATCCTTTCGTCTTCTACTAACGACGCTGTTGCTACCAAGCTACGGCGACGACGCTCTTCGCTTCGCTGCCGTTTTCCTGCTTGTTTTGCACGTCTTCGTTACGCTGCAGTCTTCCTTTAGTGGACTTCCCCGTTATGCACGGTTTGTCTCGTAAGCAAAATTCCGGCTGAGCGAACCGCATGACTCTGCGATGACTCAAACAGCGTTTGTTTGACGTCGCGTATTTGCAGTAGCTCGATGATTATAACTTACTGATTTAAAAGGAGCGCGAGATACGTTCGAAGTGGATTGTCCTGAAATAATATTCCATAACGTCGTTTTTTCTCGCTTGGATCGCGATCGATTGGAGGACCTGCTTCATCATTGAAGCAATTGCATTTCACTTCCAACTCGCCTTAATTCGTCCTTCCGTTTGCTCCTGTGCCGGTCCTGTTATTCACCCTCTTCATTAGGGTCCCCCTAATTTGAATGGAAATGTAGTAATTTTCTGCAAGTGGATAATTAGTTAGAATGGAACTATTTGCAACCAACAACCCGGAACTCTCTTAAAACTCTCGAGTCATCTTTGCTTTCCTCCGCTATTCTCTCGTTTCTATTGTTCAATCTTTTCGCGAAAGTGTTTATCTTTATCAATCAGCATTATCGTAATATCTTATGCAATAATTCGTTGCGCGTTAATAACAGCGTAGGAAGAGATCGAGAGATTTGCAGAGATAAAATGTCTCTTGAAAAGCCTGTTGGATTGTTTGGGGGGGAGATTAAAATGTCATCTCTATTTAAAAGAAAATCGATTAAAAAAGCATTTAATTGGTGCCTTGTAAAAGTATCTCGCATCCACAGCGACTCTCCTCATAAAGATCCGCAATGCGGAACTCGATTCGCAAGGTCACGGCACCAACACTCTTCCTTTTTCCGTTCCCTCCGTCCTTCTCGCGTCTCTCCTTTTCGTCCTTTTGCCCTTCTGCACTCCGTTATACTCGGCGCGTTCACGGCCAGCACTTATCTTCCATCCTTTCGCGTCTCACTTCCGGCGGAAATGTCCGTCGGTAACGGATTGTCCTTCTCGTTGTCGTTTTTGGCGGATAAGACAGAGGATACACGATCCCCTTTTTGCTTCGTCGACATTTCTGAGCCACGATTTTAATATCTTATCGTTAATTACTGTTTATACACCGCGTTTGGATTTTCCGTGACGTTTCCGCAAAACATAAGAGATGCACGCTTGCTTATTCACGTGAATCACTGTAATAAACTTCTTTTTTCATGTATTAACTTATCAACAAACGAGGGAGTTTTGCTTGTGTTTTCCTCGATAAGAAGCTACGAATGCTTACATTCGTATATTATGTTTAATGCGCAATTGACGAAGATAAATTTATGTCGATAACTTTTTGCCGCCAATGTTGCTACGAGTCTTTTAATCTTCTCGAGATTCCTAGATCCATCGAAGAATCATTTAATCCTAAGTAAATATACAAATAACGCATTGATCTCTCGGTTAATTTATTATTCCAAGAAACAAAAATGATAAAAAGATAGCGGTCATTTGGCTTCGTAATTTTCCACGAATGAGAACAGCAACGTGTCGGAGAATCTGCGAGCGATTAATTTCGGCGAATACTATAGACAATACAAATGGGGACTGTCAGTATTAATAAATTAAACGTAACCAAGTGATCAATTGCCGATCCATCGCGGCATCAATTCTCTCTCCGCGCGTCCATTACTGGTTTATATCCCAGTATTTCCACTGGGAATCACAACGCGGAGAGAGCCGGCGCTTTTGCGAGTCCCAGCGGGATAGGAATTCCGATTGAATTCGTCCGCAAAGAGAAAGAGAGAGAAAGAGAGAGAGAGAGAGAGAGAGAGAGAAAGAGAGAGAGAGAGAAAGAATTGCAACGTAGTGATTGGTATTAACTAACTGCGGTGCAACACGGGAAGTGCATCGAACGCGGGGTCCGGGCTCAGCAATTTTCAACGACGAGTTATTTCGCTACCGCGGCATTTTTTATTTCGCCGTTCGAGGCTGTCCTCGAGGAAATCGCGATATCTTGGCTCTTCGCGCAATCGCGATCCTCCCTTAAGTATGATTATTATATTACGCGCCTTTCTTTATTATATTACATTCTGCATGCTGTTACAAGCGTTTATTAATACTGCGAGTGATTAAAGAGCTCTGATGAACATAATCGTTTTTATAGAACAAGTACACAGTAAAAAATAAAATGTTAATTATAACATTTTTCACATGTATGCAGAAAGTTCACTCTAAATTTTAAGTTAAAATAATTCATTCGTTGTATGTTACTTATTGACAAAAAGTGTTAAATAATTGACACAATACTTTACATTTATTTTTGTTATTGTGATTTTAAATGTAAAAATGTAATGTAAAAATAACATATAAATTAATTAAAAATTACAGGAAAAAAGAGTTATAATAACTCGTAAGAAATGTTGAGGACTAATATGTAATAATAATTATTTTAACTTAAATTATTTGTAATAGAAACCTTTGATTTTAGTAAATTTGATTATTTTTATACGTCAAAGTTCAAGATTATTTCAAGATTTATTTTAACTTTTCTTGGAATGTTAAACTGACTTTGAGACATATTGATTGTTTAAAATGATTATGTTAAAAATACTCAAAATAATATTCCATTTCTAAGAGACATATACAAAGTGTTAAGTTGTACAAAGTTGACATAAATGTAACACATGAAAATATTATAAAAATAATAACATATAAGTCATATATTAATTTTACATTAAAATACTAATCAAAACGTGGTAACACAAGAAAATTTCAACATATGGACGCACAATTTTTTACTGTGTATCGGCTGCTAAGAGCCAAAGCGCATCATTTTGGCTTCATTTTTTTCATTTTATACGTATGTCAAGTACATATTCGCGCTTTTCGGGAAAGACCTTCTTTCAGGAAGACTATCGTTTCCTTTATAAATATACTACGAGCGCGATCTTTTTAAATTCTATACATAATATTCGTAATATCTCTCTCTGTGAGAAGTAATATCCGTGATAAAGACGGCGTGGATGCAAAGTTATGCCGAGTATTGAAAGAACTGACCTTTCCACTCGTCGATTCGATACCAAACTTTGATGCACGGGTCGGAAAGCAATTGTGCGCCGATGCATTGCAGGCAGAGACGCACTCGTGGGTAATGCACCGGAGAGAATTGCAGCGGCATGTTCGCGCCATGTTTCAAAAAGCTGCGATACATACGAATGAGGACTGCATATACATTGTATATGTAACGCGAAATGAAATTTATGTCTCTTCCATGGCGTTTAAGCGCGCCTGACTTGCAATCGCTATTCACATACATGTATCACAATCACGAGAGCGCATATATTGCATGTGCG